AGAACACATGACTGTTTCCATGCTAATTTTTTTTAAAAATTACCTTCATTATAGGAAGATGTCCTTGGGCCACCTCCTGATAATGAAGATGTAGTCAATGATTTTGATATTGAAGAGGAAGTTGTTGAAGTAGAAAATCGGTGAGTCAATGTATAGAGTAATAAGTGAACGGTTAGTTAAAGAAATTACAACTACATGATGCTTATATTATTTGTGTTTAGGGAGGAGAACCTGCTAAAAATCTCCCGCAGAGTTAAGGAGTACAAAGTAGAAATACTGAATCCTCCACGAGAAGGGAAGAAATTGTTGGTCCTCGATGTTGATTACACATTGTTTGGTAAGTCATGAATCTTATGCTCAAGCTGTTACTCGCTGTTTAATGTTGTTGTATATCTTGATTGCTTACTCTTTTAATATATACTTTATAGCTCTTATAGTATGGTTTACAACAATAATTACAATATCTCACATAATAACAGCTTAAATAGTAGCAGGTAGATCATGATGACAGCATAAAACCATAAGGTAGTAAGCAACATGAGATAAAACATTTTAAAAATCTGCTGAAATTCCACCAATGAGGGGAATATAAACATCTTCAAGTGAAATAATTTCAATTAGTCAAGTGGATTATGAAAATATCTCATTTCCTGGTACCTGCTAATCCAATGGCTCTTAATGGCCAACTGTAAATCATGTTATATAAGGCTGATCCTATGGTATAAGCAGTTAATTGTTCAGTAAATAAGAGGGCCAAAGCTTTAAAGAACAAATATTGAACCTGAAAATCAGCACACAGTTGGTGGGTTGAATATATAGTCACATTTTTAAATATATGTTTATTGTTTATACTCATAGGGGAAAACACTGATATACAGTAATTTAATCTGAAGCAAATTTCATGTCACAGTAAGCATAATACTGTCCTAAGTTCTTGGACGAGCTCTGCAGGATAATTTTGATTAAGTTCTACTTAATTTCAGTTAAATTCAGTTAATGTAAACAAAAATCTGAAATCAGTAGGTCAGTTCACACATAATGTTTACAGACTGTGGTTCCAGGTAATTAAACCATAGTTCCCTGTTTCAGATGTAACAGAAGTAGAACTTAAGCTAACAAGAATCTGTGCTGAAGGTTGTACATGTAGAAAAAAGGTGAAGACCAGATGATCAGTTAGGCCTAATGTTGATCCCCAGCTTACTGAATTCTGATTTAGGAACTTGGGAGTGTCATGTCCGCAAGATAATAGTTGTGATCTTGAACTGTACATCATTGAATCATTATTAGGCTTGTACACTTAGTTTCACTCTGTAGAGGCAGTGATTCTTTTTGTTGAAGTGAGGAGGTAGTGTTTTGCCTTGAACTACTTTAGGCTAGTACTGCGGGAGAAATCTCTGCTTATTCTTCCTCTCCAAAACTAGCTGAAATGGAACCAAAGTTGTGCAGCTTTGGCAAATGCTGTGGGGATTGTCTACACCGTATGCCAGAAAACCTCCAAGACACACTATGGCATTGCTTACGGGATTCACTAAAAGTGCTCAGCTTGGAAGACCTTTGGTGCATACCTTTAGCTCATTGTGAGGAATGGCATGTACCATGGCTGAAAGTGGCCAACCTGGGAAACCTTTGGTCATACTGAGCACTCCAGGTTTGGTGGCATCAGCATGTGCTGCAGAATTCCTATGACTAATGGTTTCTATGCATACAGTTCTGCATTTTGATGCAACATTTGGAACAGTACACTTTCAGAGAAGTTAAAATTCTACCTATCAGCTGGTATGGAGAAGAGAGATTGGATTTTTTTCTGCTTTTCCTTCCCTGCAGAGGATCTGATTTGTAGTATTTTAGGCTTTTTTGAAGATTACAAGCCCATAAGCACTGGACTTTTTTCACCACACCTTTAGATCAGAGTGTCAATCCATCGGGCTGATGTTCAAAGAAAATTTGAACCCAGTCAAATGAACCAGATGACTTTCTTCTCAGATCACAGGTCATGTGCAGAAACGGGAATTGAGCTGATGAGGCCCTACCTTCATGAGTTCCTGACATCTGCATATGAAGATTATGATATTGTAATTTGGTGTAAGTCATCTACTTTACAAACAAAAATGCTTTCATTACTTGCCATTCTTATTTGCAACTCATGAATTTGATTATAGATATTGAAGCTTAAGTCTCCATCTTTTTGTGTTCAGTCTTTCTGTTGCATTTGATTAAGTTTAATTTGGGGCAGTTGAGCAGACTGTGTTAATGAAAAATATAGCTTTTTGGGGGGAAAATAGATTAGAAATCCCTTTTGACAATAAATCAGAACTATTGCAGTTGCCCAAGACCTTGGGGATGATACATTTTTCTTAAATGACAGGTTCCCCATGCCTTATCATTCCTTATTATAAACTGTTTCAAAAGCTTCCTCTGATTTCTAAGCAGCATAGTTGCCCAGGTTGGAGAGAGAGAAAGAGGTGGCAATGTGAATCCAATTTGTCCAAAAGATGTGCAGTTTTTAGATGGTTCTGTGAATCTAGGCCATGAGATATCAAACAATCTGAGCACTAGTTATTGTATCATTTGTCTATTACTCTCCCTGTGTTCATATTTTATAAATTGATGTCCAATGCTTCTTCCTGCTCCTACATGTTCCCATTAGAATGGGAGGTAGAGTAATTCTATACTTCACATACACTACTGTGCAAAAGTTTTAGGCAGGTGTGAAAAAATGCTGTAAAGTAAGAATGCTT